GTAAATTTAATTTGGGTGCAGTGTTGCTTGACTGCGCAATTGTCAGTTAAATTAACGCAGTGCTTTAATGCAAAAAATGGCCTGATCAGGAAGGGGAAGTAAAGCCTCTGGAGGGCAAGTGGCTAAACTGGTTCATAAGGCTGATGGTTTTGTACTTTACTGCATTCTATTCATAAAGATAAAACAAAACCTTTGTGCAGCTATCCCCCCCCCCCCCCCCCCCCTACGTATTTGAGCCCGATCGTGATTTAGCAAAGTGCACAGGAGCACACTGCTTTTTATGGGGGCATTCAGCAAGGGGGAGGGGCCAGGAGTGTCAGCTGGGGACCTAAGAAGAGGAGGATTGAGGCTGCTCTGTGCAAAACACTGCACAAAGCAGGTAAGTATACCATGTTTGTAAAGGTTCCATTTTTTAAAAAAATAAGCACTTTAGGTTGTGAATGTTTCACTTTTAGAGGTTTTGATGGATATCAGCAGTCCAGCAGGGTATATTTGTATGTATAATTATCCACTATAGTCCTGCAAAAGATCCAAATGACTGAAACTTGATGCTGTGTATTAGTCTGTATTAGTTGCTTTCTTTGGTATTGTGCTACTTATCTGTTTTGTTTAGCTTAAAGTATATTAATGTGTGGTGATTGTTTTTTGTTTTTTTTCTCAAGGTATGGATAGCCTTTTCAAGACAGATGAAAGACAAAGGTTGGCAAAAGAAAGACGAGAAGAAAGAGAAAAATGTCTTGGTGAGTTGTGAAACCATGTGGTGATCATTCTGAAACCATCATTGCTGGGCTTGATATATAGAACTTGGAAAAGGAAAAGTAGAGGTGTTGTCCATAGCAGCATGTACAGATTCTGGCTATTTTAATTTGCAGTTTTTGAAGTAAAATGGAATAACTGAGTACTATTGGTAGATGTGCACTTTATTTGCATCTGAATTCAGGTATTTACTGCTTTCTGTATTCCTGTTGCGGAGATTCACCTCTCTTCATCCTGGTGACCATTGCCATCTTAATGCAAAGTGAGGGGAAATCGACATCGTAGAGTCCTCACTGGAGCAAGAGTTTGGGGGGGGGGGGGGGGAATAATACAGTTAAAATAAATGTTCTGGTGATAACCAAGAGTGGTGTCACCCCTCCTCTATTTCATGTACAGGCATCACAAGGACATAAAGTTGGGGAAAATCTTCCTAGCTGGGTCACAGACAGATGCAGAAAAATAACAAATTTTAAAACTTCCCCAGTCTACCCAGAACTAAATGATTGCACAGTGTCTGTTCTCCTTGTATCTCTTGCATCTGGTCAAGTGATCTCAGCTGACCAAGCTCAGGGGGGACATGTGGGGAAGCATCATCATGTTTTGAGCTGGCCATCAGTGGATTCCCTGCACAGCTCTTCCATGGAAGATGTGACCCTCACTGTTCCATACAGCACACATTTGCAAATTCTTTCATAAAAAAAAATTATCTTTTTAATATTTTTCTACCTGTTTGTTTTGTAGCTGCCCGAGAACAACAGATACTAGAAAAGGAAAGAAGAGCAAGACTACAGTATGAGAAACAGATGGAAGAACGATGGAAGAAGCTGGAGGAACAAAGGCTGAGGGAGGAGCAGAAAAGAGCTGCCGTAGAAGAAAAGAGAAAGCTTAGGTTTAGGGAGGAAGAGGTAAGAATCCTTTTTACTGTATTTGGCAATCCCTAATCAAACAGAATTGGAATCTTCACTGTATTTTTAATACCTATAAGCTCTTTTAAAATCTTTCCATAGACAAAAAAATGCTGTATACATACAGTATATAACATCTCTGTGTTGTGTTTTGTTTTTTTCTTTTTAATTTCAGTTTACCTTAAGAGCGGTTATTGCAGGCCCAAGCCCATTGTATACATTGATTTGTTTATATTGTCCACAGTCCACACTGTTTAGAGTGCAGACCAGGACTAAGAACTAGCATCTAGGATTCCTCTGTATTTTTGTCCTACAAAACTGGCTGACTGGTATCACATGCGATGGGCAAAATTTATCTAAATGTATGCATTGGCTACCTTATTTTAAATATTTGTGAATCTCTGTCTCCAGTGATTACAGGAGTGATGCCATTTATGGCTTCTGGCATTCAAAATATTAAACCAAACAGTTATGAGTATCCTTGTTTTCAGTCCTGGTCTACAAACATATTGCTGTTAACCATGTTGATGCACTTCACTGTGAAGACTGAATTCCAGCTAAATGTAAACAAATCAATATTTTACACTGGCCTGAGCCTGTGATGACCACTCTTAACTACCTTGAAACTGTGCCATTGTAGGAAAAAAAAAATTGCGTAGGTGCACTCAATTTTCTGGAGTGCAATTTGTAAACGGCTTTGCAGGAAACACTCAGTGGCCATTGCACCTTTTGAATTCCCGTAATTGAGCTGCTGTTAGACAGTGCAGATCATGGCAAAATGAACAGAGGACAATCAGAATGGCTCTGTGCCTTGTAATCCTTGTGAACCAATTACAACATACAGCAGTCACAGATGTCAACACAAAAATATCCAGCAATTATAGGTGCCAACACAAAAATGTAAACTGCCTCTTCTGCCTCTGCCACTTATTTTCTCCTCTGTGAGTAATATTGTTCCCACTGACCACACAGAGTAGCAAGGAGGCGTATTGCCCATAAGGGGAAAACACTAACCATCAATGATATGATGCCAAAAACACCACTGACAGTCATGGGGCACTCACATGTACTACAAAATAAAAAATATCACTAAAAGCAGGTTCTATGTGTCTTAAAAAAAAACAAAAAAAACCTCCCATCATGCCTTAGATCTGGCTGTGGGCCTATATTGATGCGTATGTTGGCTTATGGTTGGCGTACGCCTACCTTTAATTTTGAGGGCTCAGTACATACAGTGGGGCAAAAAAGTAGTCAGCCACCAATTGTGCAAGTTCTCCCACTTAAAAAGATGAGAGAGGCCTGTAATTGGCATCATAGGTAGACCTCAACTATGAGAGACAAAATGAGAAACAAAATCCAGACAATCACATTGGCTGATTTGGAAAGAATTTATTTGCAAATTATGGTGGAAAATAAGTATTTGGTCACCTACAAACAAGCAAGATTTCTGGCTCTCACAGACCTGTACCTTCTTCTTTAAGAGGCTCCTCTGTCCTGCACTCATTGCACCTGTTTGAGGTTGTGGACAGGTGTCTTTTATACTAATAACAAGTTCAAACAGTCACACTCCAAACTCCACTATGATGAGGACCAAAGAGCTGTCGAAGGACACCAGAAACAAAATTGTAGACCTGCACCAGGCTGGGAAGACTGAATCTGCAATAGGCAAGCAGCTTGGTGTGAACAAATCAACTGTGGGAGCAATAATTAGAAAATGGAAGACATACAAGACCACTGATAATCTCCCTCGATCTGGGGCTCCACGCAAGATCTCACCCTGTGGGGTCAAAATGATAACAAGAACGGTGAGCAAAAATCCCAGGACCACACGGGGGGACCTAGTGAATGACCTGCAGAGAGCTGGGACCAACGTAACAAAGTCTACCATCAGTAACACACTACGCCACCAGGGACTCAGATCCTGCAGTGCCAGACTTGTCCCCCTGCTTAAGCCAGTACATGTCTGGACCCGTCTGAAGTTTGCTAGAGAGCATTTGGATGATCCAGAATGCTAGAGAGCATTTGGATGATCCAGAAGAGGATTGGGAGAATGTCATATGATCAGATGAAACCAAAAAAATAGAACTGTTTGGTAGAAACACAACTCGTCGTGTTTGGAGGAGAGAGAATGCTGAGTTGCATCCAAAGAACACCATACCTACTGTGAAGAATGGGGGTGGCAACATCATGCTTTGGGGCTGTTTCTCTGCAAAGGGACCAGGACGACTGATCCATGTACAGGACAGAATGAATGGGGCCATGTATCATGAGATTTTGAGTGCAAACCTCCTTCCATCAGCAAGGGCATTGAAGATGAAACGTGGCTGGGTCTTCCAACATGACAATGATCCAAAAATACCGCCCGGGCAACGAAGGAGTGGCTTCGTAAGAAGCATTTCAAGGTCCTGGAGTGGCCTAGCCAGTCTCAAGATCTCAACCCCATAGAAAACCTTTGGAGGGAGTTGAAAGTCCGTGTTGCCCAGCGACAGCCCCAAAACATCACTGCTCTAGAGGAGATCTGCATGGAGGAATGGGCCAACATACCAGCAACAGTGTGTGTGCCAACCTTGTGAAGACTTACAGGAAACGTTTGACCTCTGTCATTGCCAACAAAGGATATATAACAAAGTATTGAGATGAACTTTTGATATTGACCAAATACTTATTTTCCACCATAATTTGCAAATAAATTCTTTCCAAATCAGCCAATGTGATTGTCTGGATTTGTTTTCTCATTTTGTCTCTCATAGTTGAGGTCTACCTATGATGCCAATTACAGGCCTCTCTCATCTTTTTAAGTGGGAGAACTTGCACAATTGGTGGCTGACTAAATACTTTTTTGCCCCACTGTAGGTCATTTGTTTATTTTTCTATAAATGAGACCATATTCCAAAAGTAATACTACGGTGGTAAATTTGGCTGCACTTGTTGGATGGCTCCGGTTCTATGTCTGTTTTATGCACTTATTATTGAGATATATACCGTATTTTTCGCACCATAAGACGCACTTTTTTCCCCAAAAAAATTATGGAGCGAATATGGAGCGGCCGGTCCGGTATTTCCACTGCCGCCGTGTCAGAATACCGGGTCGGCCGCTCAGCTCTACAGCGGGACCTTATAGAGATGACTGCTGACCTTTGGGGAGGGGGGGGAGTGGGTACCTGAATTTGACAGATACCCGCTCCCACTTCCGTGGAGTTGTTCTTTCATCTTACCCGTTCCTCTATCCAGCGGCGCGGTCTTCCCGGCTTCTGTAGTGTGGGCATGACAGCCGGGTGCCAAGTGCGCATGCGCAGGAAGCGGTGCTTTTTGTGAATGGTAAGGCGGCACCTGGGACACATGACAGATCCCAGAAGCCGCCGGACCAATCACAAAGCGCAAGTGCTTCTCGCTCATGCGCACTGGGCACCCGGCACCCGGCTGTCATGCCGAGTGCCATTACAGAAGCCGGGAAGACAGCGCGCGGCTGGATAGAGGAACAGGTAAGATGAAAGAACAACTCTGCGGAAGTGGGAGCGGGTATCTGTCAAATTCAGGTACCCGCTCCCCCCCCCTCCCCAAAGGTCGGCAGTCATCCCCTGTACTATCCACAGTCTCTGGTCATCCCTGTGCTGTCCGCAGTCTCTGGTCATCCCTGTACTGTGTCCGCAGTCTCTGGTCATCCCTGTACTGTGTCCGCAGTCTCTGGTCATCCCTGTACTGTGTCCGCAGTCTCTGGTCATCCCTGTACTGTGTCCGCAGTCTCTGGTCATCCCTGTACTGTGTCCGCAGTCTCTGGTCATCTCCTGTACTGTGTCCGCAGTCTCTGGTCATCTCCTGTACTGTGTCCGCAGTCTCTGGTCATCTCCTGTACTGTGTCCGCAGTCTCTGGTCATCTCCTGTACTGTGTCCGCAGTCTCTGGTCATCTCCTGTACTGTGTCCGCAGTCTCTGGTCATCTCCTGTACTGTGTCCGCAGTCTCTGGTCATCTCCTGTACTGTGTCCGCAGTCTCTGGTCATCTCCTGTACTGTGTCCGCAGTCTCTGGTCATCTCCTGTACTGTGTCCGCAGTCTCTGGTCATCTCCTGTACTGTGTCCGCAGTCTCTGGTCATCTCCTGTACTGTGTCCGCAGTCTCTGGTCATCTCCTGTACTGTGTCCGCAGTCTCTGGTCATCTCCTGTACTGTGTCCGCAGTCTCTGGTCATCTCCTGTACTGTGTCCGCAGTCTCTGGTCATCTCCTATACTGTGACTGCAGTCTCTGGTCATCTCCTGAACTGTGTCCGCAGTCTCTGGTCATCCCCTGAACTGTGTCCGCAGTCTCTGTACTATGTCTGCAGTCCATTAGTTCAGAATTTTTTTTTTCTGTTTTCTGCCTCTAAAACCTAGGTGCGTCTTATGGTCAGGTGCGTCTTATGGAGCGAAAAATACGGTATTATATATATCACTTTGTCATATTGTAGTTCTTAATGTGACATCAGAGATTTGTATTTTGGAATGGTTCTTGTATCTGTCACTCTGTTTTCTGAAAAAATCCTTTTAATGAAAACCATTAAACCAGAGAGATAAAGGAAAGGAAGGGGCAGTGAAAAATAAGTTATACTTACAAAATAACTTTGTTTCCCTGGATTTATGAAAATAGATTATATTTTTAAATATACAGTTGGCGTAAATTTTTTGTCATGGTCAATTTCTTTATTTTTCTGTACAATATAGATGCACATGTAAATCTTATAGGGATAGATGCTGACTTTATTCTAAAAAAAATAGTGTACATAGAACCTTAGAGGCTTAGTGGGAAAAATTTCAAATTTTTCTTGTTGCCTGGAAACTGCAGATTCACTGATTACAATGTCTGTAAACGTAATGTAGACAAATGTAAAGCTTTTCCTGCCATTCATCCAAAGTTTGAATGACTGGGGTATGTGGGTTCTTCAGATGCCTTTATTGACATATTTGAGCAAAATAGTGTTTATTATTTTTTCAAAAGTTGATTATAGCCTTGCTTGCCTTCCAATAGCAAATGTATCCGAGAGGTAGAAATGGGCTTCTTCACCATTTTTTACGTTTTTTCAGCTTGCATTATGCCATGCAAGCTTAAAGCCCATCCCTGGGCAATGCTCTCTCCCTCCTACCCATTGATTAATAACTAACTTTTGAAGCTGGATTTTTCTCCTCTAAGTCTGCCATCCTTATCCTTTGCCATTGCTGCTTCAGTGAGTGACAGTGGGTGATCCAGTACTGCAGTCTTTGCCTGTGCCTGCCCTTCGCATCTTCATGACCTCACACTGTATGGTCTTCAGAAGACCAAGAGGACCCTGCCACTGAACAGATAATAGGAAGTGCCCACATCACCCAGCTAGAGAAAAAGGACCCTCCATCTGTGCAGTGAATATAACAATATGTTATATAAGTTGACATTTCTCTGTCTCCCAATTGTTGTTCTGTGTTGTCACCCTGTCGAACTCTCTTCCAATAGAGGCTACACGTGGCTATGCTGATCCACATTAAATAACAGGTATATTCCACTGTTGTCACCATTAGGAAAACTGCCATGAGATGACACTCTAGCCATGTAAGTGTATGCTTGTAGAGAGGAAGTGACTGCAAACAGGCTGCAGGAGATGAGTGTAGCTGGGTCTCTGCCCCCCCTCCCTCCTCCTGTCATCAATTCAGAGTTTAAGCACAAGACAAAACTGTGTTTGGCCTCCCTTCCTCCTCTCTCATAGCAACAGCAATGGACCAGTTAGAAGGTCTAAGACAGGTGCAGAGGCAGGCCGAGTCAGTAACTGGTATCCACAGATGCAAAAGGTATCACAGGAACAAATGCACTGGAGAGCCAAAGCCTAACCAGCAATCACAGAGGGTGATTGGCTTCCCTATAAAGACCTTTTCGTTGCCAATCTGAGCTGTGAGCGCGCACAGCCATATTCAGGCGCGCATCTGTGTGTGTCTTTGCACATTCGTTGTGTGCCAGTGTGCAATTCTGCAGTCATGTAAAGTCCTGTCAGGAATGCTGGGTCTTCTTGCTCTTGCTCCTCTGCTTTGGACAGTACCCTGACAGTGCACCCCCTGCTTACTACCATACCCCCCCACACACACACACGATGGGCAGCCTCCTAATATTTGAAGAATAATTCTTGGAGAAGTCTGGGGGCATGTATATTGATCTCAGGTTCCCAAGAACTTTCTTCAGACGGATATCCATTCCATTTGGTTAGGCTCTGGATCTATCTCCCCTGTTTCATCAGTCCAAGACTGCCTCCATCTCATATTCTGTTTTCTCTGTTATTGGTGGGGGAGGTGGTTTCACTCTTCCTGGAAACAGATCCGGATCTGCTGGTTTGCGCAGGTAGACATGGAAGACCGGATGAATCCTGTATGAATCGGAAAGTAATAGTTCATATGCTACAGGATTTACTTGCTTGATTGTGCCGGACAAGGAAGTTTCAGATTGACAATGACAACCAAACTGTCTCCATCCTTCAGGAAGGGATCTCCCCTCTGCTTCCTGTCAAAGTATTTCCTATAGTCCGCTTGTGCCTTCCATATGGACTCCTGGAGTGCCTGATAATTGTTTTGTACAAAGGTAAGTCTGTGTTGTACTGCAGGCACTGCTGATTCAAGCAAGGTATATGGCAGACAGGTTGGAATCTATAACTGGCCCAGAATGGAGACTGGTTTGTGGCTGAATGGACTGAATTATATGCAGATTTTGCAAGTGGGGGAAGAGACACCCAGTCATCTTGATCAAAGGTCGAGAAACCACATAGGTATTACAGGGTAAGGTTCATACTTTCTGCTTGTCCATTACTTTGGGGGTGATAGGCTGAGTTCCACTTTAAGGGCATTGCAAAGCACTTTCCAAAACCTGGAAGTAAATTAGGAATAGAAACTGTTACTGGGTAGCCCATTTAGTCTGACAATTTCCATGGTGAAGGCATGAGTAGTTTTGGCATCAGACGGAGTACCAACCATTGGTAAGAAGTGGGTTATTTAGGATAGCCGATCTACCACCACCAGGATGGTAGTAAACCCCTCAGAGGGAGATAAGTCCACAATAAAGTTTCTGGCTATCATCTCCCAGGAACGATTAGGCAAGGACCTCCGCAACTTCCAGGCCTTAGTTTTATCGCCCTTGCTACACAGACACTGTGCAAGATTTCACATAGTCTTTGCAATCCTGACTCAAGCTGGACCACCAAAAGGACCGCTGGACTAGCTCAATCATCTTATGGGCCCAAAAGAGTCCAGCCAGCTGGTCGTAATGGAAGGTCCTTAGAACTTGAGATCTCAAATCCTAAGATACGAAATCCTATCTTGGTGCCACAACACTCCTTCCTGAGTCCTTAACGAGTCCTGTCCGTGTCCAGAGCATAAAGTAGAGACCTGTTCAGTGGATGCCTTAAGACCGGGCTGGATCTGCAAAAATTTTTGGAAAGACAAGATGGTGCTTGGAGGCACAGACTTGGCTGATTTGGGAAACATACCGGATAATGCATCTGCCTTCCCATTCTTGGATTGCGGACGGTAGGTTATTTAAAACTTGAATATAGAAAAGAACAGAGCCTATATAGCTTGCCAAGGTCCTAGGCGCTTTGCAGACCTCAGGTATTCCAAATTCTCATGATCCATGAAGATCATAATCGGGTGATAGGTACTTCTAATCTTCAAAGGTTACTTTAATTGCTAAGAGTTCTCTATCGCCCCACATCATAGTGCCTCTCGGCTTGGCTTAATTTCCTAGAGCAAAAAGCTACTGGATGAAGCAGAGCCTTTATACCCTTCCATTGAGGGAGTGCAGCCCCCGTTGCACATTCAGATGCGTCCACCTCCAAGTTGTAGGGTAGTGCAGGGTCTGAGTGTTGTAGAACAGGGGCAGAAGAGAATAAGGCATTCAGCTATTCAAATGCTGCTTGATCTTCCTGGCTCCAGAGGAAACGTGTATGCTGGCTCATAAGCTGGGTGATATGGGCAATGATGGTTGAAAAGTTTATCATAAATTTCTGCTAAATGTTGTTGAACCCTACAAATCTCTGGACCCCTTTTCTGTCAGAGGATGCGGGCCAGTCCAGAACTGCAGAGCCCTTCTGTGGGTCCTTTGCAATCTCCTCTGTAGATATTGAGCCCAGGAACTGAATATATTGCTTTTCAAACTCGCATTTTTCTGCCTTTGCTTAGAGGCTGTGCGTTCTTGGTGTAGTCAGCACTTTTCTGACATGGACTCGATGGAGTTCAAGTGAGGCTGAAAATCAAGATGTCTTTCAAATGGATAATTAGGAATAAATCAAGATATTCCTTGAAAATGTAATTTCCAAAGTATTGGAATGTTGCGGGGCATTACATGGTCAGAATGGCATCACGCGATACTCAAAATGTCCAAAATGTGTCCTGAATGTGGTTTTCCTGTCATTGCATTCCCTGATGCAAACTAGGTTGTAGGCCTCCCGTAAGTCCAATTTTTTGTAAACACCCAGGCTGTCCAGTTCAGAAACGAGGGGAAGTGGATACCGATTTTTGATGGTAATTTTATTAAGTTCTTTGTAGTCAACACAGGGTCTACATAGTCAACATAGAAGATGCCCACCCCGGCTAGGTTGTAGGAATCTCTGGAACAGTTCAGGAACAAGGGGAATGGGATACCGATTTTTGATGGTAAATTTATGAAGTTCTCTGTAGTCAACAGAGGGTCTAAGGGACTATTCCTTGATGGACTTTAAGGAGGAAGAGGACGTCTGAAGATTTCCCCCTTCCCCCTACTCCCCCTTGCGTGTCTTTGTCTCTTCAATAAAGCTTCGGGCCTGTGTTCTTTCCCCCCCCCCCCACACACCCGATGCCTATTGTTGATCGTAATATCCGGTTTTCGTTTTTTGCATGCATTAGTATTATTAGGAAACGTAATGTATATTAGGATGCTACAGTTTTTGGGGTAAGCGGCGTTATGCATGACGTGGTGGTCTGGAGATTCGTCCTCCACGCACATCACGTCAGGCATCATACCGCTGAGCGAATGTATTTATTTCTGAATGTATTTATTGTATGCTTGGAACTGTATTGCAATGTGGTGCGCTGCGTCGCAGTACAGGGTGAGATGTTCCCCGATTACAAGTAACATGTTGTTTTTGATGCTTCTGTAATAAAAGTATCTTTTCAATCAAAAAAAACAGAGGGTCTAAGGGAGTGATCTTTTTTTCTCGACAAAGATGATGCCCGCCCTGACAGGTGAAGAAAAGGGGTGGATAATCCCCTTGGCAAGGTTCTGGTCTGTGTATTGCCAGACGGCTTCCAGCTCAAGTTCGGATAGTGTAAAGATTCGTCCAAAGGATATCTTTCTCCCTGGAAGCAGTTCGATTAGGCAGTCGTAGGACCGATGAGGTGGCAGTATTTTTGCCCTTTTGTCGAATACATCAAGGAAGTCATGGTAAGCAGGAGGAATGGACTGATTGGCATATGATACTGGTTGAAT